CAAACCATGGATTTAATATTCCAAAACTCATCATTTTGGGCCAAAATTCTAGAAAACACTTAAAGACTCATAACATAACATGATTTAAAGACTATTTCATAAAATTAAAGCCCAAAGGTATGCCAATTGAACACAAACTCAACTTCAACTTTATGATTGATTCAAAAACATGACATGCATGCGCTCCCATGAACTCCAATACTTCGAAGTATGATCAAATGCAAGATTCAACTAAAAAACATGGTGAATTTCTAAGGAACAACCATAATATGAACATGCATGTGGAAATTTTTATGAAAACAAATCTCAAAATTCCATGATATGGCCATGCATGCATGAATTAATTCTCAAATCCACTCTTTAAGCTATTTCTTGACTTTAGTTCCTAATTTCCATGAATCCATGCATTAAACAACTTCAATTCATAATTAAAAGGGTAGATTCCTACCTTAAGTCTTGAATTTCCAAGTGTGGTAGCTCAATCTTCCAAATCCTCTCCAATCTCCTCTATATTTCAAGCTATTCACTTGTTGAATTCAATCTCTTCCTACTCTCCTCTTTCTCCCTCACGGTTTTGCAAGATGGTGGAGGCTAAAGGTGTGACAACATATGGAGAAATCAAACAAATGGCCTTGTAAGGGCCTACCAATGGCAAATGTGTAAATAACTCAAGTTAAAGTAATTTAACATGATTTATTCTAACTTAATTGTTCTAAATCGAATTTTAATTAAACCTACCATAAAATTCTATAAATCCTAATTAGCATGTAACACAAGTCAATTTCTGAATCGGTTGCTGATAAGGCTTTCAATTCGCAATTTGAAATTAAAATGTGAACAAATCGTTTCATATCAAATAGATAGAAATGCAATTAAAACAACACACTCATATAATCAATTTGGGATTTCATCTTAATCATTTACTTAGCATGCTTAATCATGAATTAATGCTAAACATAGGTCAGGGTTGTCACAGCCCTCAACTCACAAATCAAAACAAAAATTCAAACAGATATTTCTTTAGCAAATAGATATAAACACAAATAATTCATTACACATGTAATTAATTCAGAATTTCTTTTTAATTACTTATTAGGCATTGTACACTTATAAAACACAATGAATTAAAGATCATTACACAAAATCAAGACCCAAAAGCAAGTGAATTTATAGGCTAATCACAAGTTGGGGTTGTTACACCTAGAGCTCTGATACCATGTTAGAATGGTTGAAAGAAATGTAGGAATTGTGTATCTGTATTCTATTGAATTAAATAACATACAAGGAGAAGCCTATATATATAGGCTGAAAAGAAACCTAGATAAGTATAGAAAGAGATAGAGATAAAGATAAAGAGAGATAGAGATACGATGAGATAGAAATAGAAATAGAGATAGATATAAAGATAGAGAGATATATAGATCAGATATGTCTACAATACAAATGGATAAGTAATACAGATAGATAAGTACACATTAACATAAAGGATAATAATATTTAAGGAAAAATTGTAACAAAATGAGAGAATAACAAAATTTTGCAAATCCATAGAATATTTATCAAAATAGCAGTAAAGGAAAAAATTAAAAATACATGGAACCATACTTTAACAAGACTAAAATGCCCTCATCTTCTTTTTTCCCTCCCTATGCAACTTCAACGATCGCCACCGCTACCGACCAGCCCACACAATGCAACTCCTCTTGCACCCCCAATCCCTCTTATTTGAAAAAATAAATTACATTAGGCTATTTTGAAATTTGAAAAAAAATATGTTAAGTTCTACAAATTTGGCATAATTACTAGGGTTGTTCACGGAACCCGGAGACCCGACAAACCCGTCCGGTTTGAACCAATCCGATGAGCTACGGACCGTTTTATTTACAAAGACGGTCGGCTACGGATGTTACTTCTCAATTTTTTCAATTTCATGGTCGGTCACGGATGGTATACATTAAAATCCAATAAATCCGATCCGACCGATAAAATATTTAAAAAATATATCTACCCTCCACGTGTTTAGATTGGACTCATATTTCATATTCTAGAGAACTGTAAAGGCTGCCTAGGGAACTTAAATCCCTTTAGGAAATTAAAAAAAATATGTATCCTAGGCAACTCTAAAGACAACCTAGAGAACCTAAACCCTTTAAAGTATCTCTCTCTCTCTCTCTCTCTGGTATAGTTCTTCACAAAAGAATGGTGATGGTGGCTCTTCCCCCAACTCGTCTCACAGTGGTTAAGACGATGGTGGTGATCAAAATGGCAGTAGCAGTGGCAAACTCGCGGCGGTAATGGCGCAAGCAGATTGATGGTAACGATGAGTTCCTTTTTTCAATGTATCATATCTCTTCTCTTTTAGACCCTTCTCTCTCCATGTGAATACTTTTCATTCTCTGAGGTCTGCGTATGTGATTTCATTATTTGTATTTGAAAATTCTGAATTAGTTTCTTAGATTTGATTGAGTGAATGGTAAAGTTTCTGTGTTGTTTGAGCCATCTGCGAAACCGTCGAAATCAACTCACAACACCGAATCAATGTGCGGTCGAGTTCCGGCACACTAGCAGTCGGCATCGGATGAAAAAAGTATTGAACCAAAAGGGTCGGTTCGAGTGGTGGTTCAAGCATTAAATCCGAGCCGACCGACCCGTGAACAATCCTAATAATTACATTAGACTTTTTGAAAGTTTCAACTCACATAATACTTAGTTCTATTTTTATTAATAATTCAATAGTCGTATAACTAAAATAAATGATGTTATCATTACTTTTATATTAAAATGTATATTTTATTCATCTCTATGTTTTCACAACACATTAGGTCTAATCTTGTCTTATTGAGAAAGAAATCAGTAAAATTATGTCAAATTTATGATGCTTATTGTATTTTTACTAAACCTCATGAAATGTCATTGTAATTTATCCAAAATAATATATAAAATTTTATACAAAATGACGTGCTTATCAAATATTTAATTCTCTAAATTATTGTGATAAAAAAATTGTAAGAATAATATTTCACCTTAAAATCATAATAAGCTAAAATTAATGAATTTTTAATATTGTGATGGGCTGGAATCATAATTTCAACTATGAAAGAAAAAAATAAATGAATACATAGTAAAATATTATCTCGCTAATTTAATAGAATAGTTAATCTTACACTAACTCATGGATTATTAATCATTTCACTATTAATCCTTTTAATCAAACAAGGTTTAAGAGTACATTTCTCATAACTTTTAGATAATTAATTTTTTTTCAATTTAGATCTCGTTTAGGAACATGTTATTTTAATAATTTTTTTAATTTTTTACAAAAAAAATATGTAGAAAAGTAAATAAAATAATATGGCAACTTATAATAATTTTTTGACTAAAATTAAAAATTGTTAGACGAAACCTTATTTAATATATTTAAACAGTTCAGATAAGTTAGGATGATAAAAATTAGGAAAATTTGGCTATAAACCCCATTTACCTTCCTTTCATTGTTAAAATGACTAAGAAAAAAATTATACTTTCTAAATCCCCTCATAATTATAAAATCTTGTATAAATAACAAAATTTATTATTTAAATATTTTATTAGACTATTATACCCTCAACTAAATCTTCTCACCTTCTCCATCCACTCCCTCCCCACTTTCTCTCTCCCTTTCCCTCTTTCTTCTCATCTTTCTCTCCACTCTGCATCCAAAGTCGTCGCCTCCTCAAACGCCATTGCCACCGTGCTTTTCCTCGCCGCCGTGAGATCTCGCCAGAAAGCTTTAACAAGTTCTCTCTCCCTCCACTCTCACCGATAAGGTGGTTGCCAACGATTCTGGACATGAGTGAAAGAGAGATCGATGGGAAAGACCACTACCATACAGATTTGAGAAAGAAGGTTCAAGATCTAAACGATTCATTCTGTGAGATCTCGCTAAAAAACTTCGGAAGACGGCACGATTAGCCCCATCGTCATCCTCTCTCCTTGCTGTTTTCTCTCTGTCTCTCTCTCTCTATATATATATATATATATGTATTATCACTTACCCATCAAATTTGGAAGTGAGTGATATAGTGTAACGGTGATCTCAAACACACACACACACACACACACACATACACTCTTCTTGTTATTGTTGTTGAACCTTCATCTTTAGATCTGAATATCTATCTCAGATTTGAATATGTTGTTGTTGATGATCATGAACATATAGGGTTTGGTGATGAGTTCAACAAATCTGTTTATTTATTTTTAAAATTTTTAATATTGTTGTTGATATTGATGATGATGACGATGATGAACATATAGGATTTGGTGAACAACTCTCGAGATGATGAACATATAGGATTTGTACAGATTGTGAATCTTTCACTACATAAGAACAAATTGATGCTATTGAACATATAAATTTTAAACAGGTAAAAAATTAGACAGATAGAAAATTCACACAAAAAATTTGGATAGAAAGAAAATATACATAGATAAAATTTGGATACTCCTTAAATCATAGTAAAATTGTACTTTCAGAATAAAATTATAAAATCAGAGTAAAGTTTACTATGATTCAAAATATAATTTTACTTTGAAATACACTGTGAAAATGACTTAATAGCAAAGCTGACAGATATGAAGGTAATATAGTAAGATAAACAAGTTTTAAAATATTAAGAGATTTCGAAAAGACTTATATAATTCTTGTCATTTTGAAAGATAAATTAAACAATGAGGGGTCTATCACTGAATCCTCCTAAAAATTAACATAAATAGAAAAAATTACAAAATTGTATAAATAGAAAAATGCATAAACTTCTATGGTGGCGGATAAAAAGATGATGAAAATTACTTGGCTCTTGAGATCCACTACTTTAGAGCCTAAAATAAAACAGTGAATCTCAGTAATGTTGACCCACCATAGAGTTGAGTAAAATCACACTCTCTATGGAGGTAGAAGAAGACACCGGTGGAGAGAGAGAGAGAGAGAGAGAGGGGGAAAGGAGGATTTTGAAGGGTTTGATTGAATAGTTAGAGAGAGAGAGAGAGAGAGAGGGAGAGAGAGAGAGAGGGTAGCTGGGAACTACTACAAAGAGAGGTAGGAGAATTAGATGAGTGGCGAGCTATCTACCACGTGCTGACTGAATATCTCATTTAAAACCCCCCCTCCCCTCTTCTCTTGTCAATGCCTGCAAAACCAAACCATTCAAACCAAACCCAAACCAAACTAAACTAAACCCAATCCCCAACACCAAACCAAACCAAACCAAACCCACAACACCATTTCTCAGATTTGCAATTCACCATTTCAGGTCTCTCTTGATTCTGCTCTGCCTCTTCTTCTTCTTTGATTCGTAATGCTTCCAACAATTCAATCAGATTGAGACATTTCATTCTTTGTCCCAAATATTGGAGCTTCCTCTGCTGCTCTTCCACGGTCAGACTCTGTTCTTTGAATGCCAATTTTGAACCCTTTTCGCTTCACTTGTGTTTAGTTCCTCTTGGCTTGATTGGGGTATTTGCTATTTTGTTGTGCTCTGTTTGATTTTTGGTTGTTTTCACTTTCACAAAGTAACGTTATTTTTAGATTATAGAAAAACCCATTTCAGAATTGGTTATTTTTGGGGTGTGTTGGATATTAGGAGCATAATTCTTAGCTGCATAACTCCACAAAGTTGTTTTATTTTTGAGATACAAGATGATTTTGGAATACCCAATTCAGAATTTGGCCAAGTTTTCATTTCTTGTTCTCTTGCATAGTTGTGCTGATCTATTAATTCAACAGTAGGAACATAATTCTCTATTTCACTTCACAAAGTTGCATTATTTTAACCCGCACGGGTAGCCTACCGGTAAAGGGGTTGGACCCTGAGATAAAGTGTAAACCCAGACATCCCGGGTTCAACTCTTGCCAGTGTCCCTCGGGCTTAACCGAATTCAGGTGATTGTATGTAGGTATCTGGCGCTTTCTCTACAGGGTGGGCCCAATGTGGCCCTTCCTTGAGGAGGTTCCTCATCGCCGTCATCATAACAATAATCATAATAATAAATAAATAAATAAACATTATTTTGGAGATACAAGATGATATAGACGATTCAATCAGCTTCAGATCTACTTTGTGCGTGGTTGGTGTTTATAATTAATTTGATGATGTGAGCATAATTCTGTATCAATAATATTCAATCCCGGTCTCTTTCAATTACTTGGTTTCAGGAGGTATTACAGTATGTCGGAAGCTCAAAGGATGTCACTAACGGTTGGTGTAGGCCGTGGTAGTAATGGCAATGGTTACATAAATGCAGCAATCCCATTGAGGTCCCCAATTGCAGCACCGGAAGTGAACCAGTTCTGTTATGCCCTTGGGGGAAATAAGCCAATACATAGTATATTAATTGCAAACAATGGAATGGCAGCCGTTAAATTTATGCGCAGCGTAAGGACATGGGCTTATGAAACATTTGGTACAGAGAAGGCAATATTGTTGGTGGCCATGGCTACTCCGGAGGACATGAGAATCAACGCGGAGCACATTCGAATTGCTGATCAGTTTGTTGAAGTTCCCGGGGGAACTAACAATAATAACTATGCCAATGTGCAGCTCATTGTAGAGGTGTGTAAATTCATTTACATTACATGTACGCATTTTCAAGGTTTTAATTTGATTGTGAAAGAAGTTTGATATTGATGGAATTTAATTCTTGGTCACCCAGATGGCGGAGATAACACATGTTGAAGCGGTTTGGCCTGGTTGGGGTCATGCCTCTGAAAGCCCTGAGCTGCCAGATGCGCTGAATGCAAAGGGAATCGTATTTCTTGGGCCACCAGCTACGTCTATGGCAGCTCTGGGGGACAAAATTGGCTCGTCATTGATAGCTCAAGCAGCTGAAGTTCCCACCCTTCCTTGGAGTGGTTCTCATGTAATTTTTTTTAATCATAAATTGTGTCTGTTTTTACTCTTGCTGAGCTCATCTCAAAATCTAATATACTAAACTGTCATTTTTAGGTAAAAATTCAACCAGATGGCTGTTTGATTACTATTCCAGATGATATATATCGCAAAGCATGTGTTTATACTACAGAAGAAGCAATTGATAGCTGTCAAGTAGTGGGTTACCCTGCAATGATAAAGGCATCTTGGGGTGGCGGCGGCAAAGGCATAAGAAAGGTTTGCTTCACACACACTACTAGTTCTAAAGTCTGATTGTTAACTATATATTAGCTTTCTAGCTAATGTTGTAACAATTTTTCCTTCTCTAAGTACTGATGCCTATGCCAATTGTTGATTAAAATCAGACTTGGAAAGTTACTTATTGTGTTGAGGAGCTACTTATCAACACTATTGGCTTATTTTATAGTTGAATTAAACTAAGCATACTGTTATTTTTACTTTCTAGGTTCATAATGATGATGAAGTCAAGGCATTATTCAAGCAAGTTCAGGGTGAAGTTCCTGGCTCGCCTATATTTACGATGAAGGTTGCTTCTCAGGTATGATCATTGTGTCTACTGTATGTCCATTCT